ATTTGAACGCGCCAGCTCAGTTGTATATTGCTGGTGCCTTAGCTGCTTGAGCCACAGGCACTGAGCCACCATTCCTTGTTTGTTCTCAAAATATTCCTTGTCTATAAATGCCATTATATTAACATTGTTATTTTGTAACTGTCACTTCAGATACTTGAATCCCTACATCCTACCATATTATCTATCCTAATGCAGATATGTAATAACCTACAATGACTAACTGAATAGATTAATAGATAGATGAATTAGCTATATTCTATCATTTTATTGCAAATTCCAAACTAACCCTTAAAAATCAGTGCTTTTATTCATTAATTACCCAGGCTTGAAAGTGCAGAGCCCACTTTATAACTCCTTGGTCTCCTTCATATACTGTATTCTTCAATAGTTCTGTAAGGCTGGGTGCAGTGGCTCATGCCTGTAATCCTAGCACTCTGGGAGGCTGAGGCAGGTGGATTGCCTGAGCTCACAGGGTCAAGACCAGCCTAAGCCACAATGAGATCTCATCTCTAAAAATAGCCAGACATTGGGCGGCACCTGTGGCTCAGTAAGTAGGGCACCAGCCCCATATACCAAGAATAGGGGGTTCAAACTCAGCCTCGGCCAAACTGCAACAAAAAAATATGCCAGGTGTTGTGGTGGGTGCCTGTAGTCCCAGCTACTCAGGAGGCTGAGGCAAGAGAATCGCCTAAGCCCAGGAGTTAGTTTGGTGTGAGCTGTGATGCCACAGCACTCTACCAAGGACAACAAAATAAGACTCTGTATCTACAAAAAAAAAAAGGCAGACATTGTGGTGGGAGCCTGTAGTCCCAGCTATTCAAGAGGCTTGAACCCAAGATGGGGGTTGCTATGAGCTATGATGCCACAGCACTCTACCAAGGATGACAAACTGAAACTCTGTCTTAATTTAAAAAAAAAAAAAATACAAGTTATACACCCTAGTTCAGGCCGATCTAGACTTATATAAGAATCTTTACTGTTACTCATTGTGCCCCCAGTTAACTAATCTTCTCTGTTTCATTTTGTCTTTTCTCCTATTCATAAGTCTTGAATTTCAACTCTGCTACCTTATATAGTTTCTTTCCTGTTTAATTCCTCCTTTCTCTAAAATTACATTCCTGTCTTTTGAGGCACATCAATAAGCTAATTTCTGGGGCTTGGAGCCCGTAGCACAGTGGTTATGATGCCAGTCACGTGTGCCAAGGCTGGCTGGTTTGAACCCAGCCTGGGCCAGCTAAACAACAATGACAACTGCAACAAAAAAAATAGCTGGGCTTTGTGGTGGGCACCTGTAGTCCCAGCTACTTGGGAGGCTGAGGCAAGAGAATCCCTTAAGCCCAAGAGTTAGAGGTTACTGTGAGCTGTGACATCATAGCCCTCTACTGAGGGTGACATAGTGAAAATCTGTCTCAAGAAAAAAAAAAAAAATTATTGACAGGCCTGATGAGCGGTTGGGTGCGGTGAGAGTCCTGAGTAGTAGTGAGTATCAAAGAGGGGAAGGAGACAAAAGAAAATCACTTATAAAGGCTCCTGAAATAGCTGGGAGTGGTGACTCACACCTGTAATCCTAGCACTCTGGGAGGCCAAGGCAGGTGAATAGCTTGAGCTCACAGGTTTGAGAGCAGCCTGAGCAAAAAGCGAGACCTCATCTCTACTAAAAATAGAAAAACTGAGGCAAGAGGATCACTTGAGCCCAAAAGTTGGAGGTTGCTATGAGCTATGATTCTACAGCACTACCCAGTACAACAGCTTTTGGGACTCTTGTCTCGAAAGAAAAAAAAGGCCCCCTGAAGTAGGATTTGAAATACAGATTCTAAGAGATATAGAGTGTATTGTGTTCTAATTTGCCTTTATGAAGCATAGTTTAAGATCACTGTAGAAAACAACCAAGTAAAATACTTTATATATTACAGTGGTTGGAATAAAAACAGGGTTGAATGAGTTCCAGAAAGCAGGGTTCTCAAACTCGTGGACAACAATCTGCAGAAGAAGACAACTTCAAAAAGCCAACTAGAAGCAACATGCAGAGAAGTAAGATGAGAGGGGCTTCCTCCGGAAAGAAGACAGCTGCTCCGCAGCAGAAAAATCTTGAGCCAGCTCTCCCAGGAAGATGGGGGGGTCGCTCTGCAGAGACCCCCCCTTCAGGATCTGCGAGGAAGACAAGAAAGAACAAGCAGAAGACTCCTGGAAATGGAGATGGTGGCAGTACCAGCGAAGCACCTCAGCCTCCACGGAAGAAAAGGGCCCGGGCAGATCCAACTGTCGAAAGTGAAGAGGCATTTAAGAATAGAATGGAAGTTAAAGTGAAGATTCCTGAAGAATTAAAACCATGGCTTGTCGAGGACTGGGACTTAGTTACCAGGCAGAAGCAGCTTTTCCAACTTCCTGCAAAGAAGAACGTGGATGCGGTTCTTGAAGAGTATGCTAATTGTAAGCGGTCGCAGGGCAATGTTGATAATAAGGAATATGCAGTTAACGAAGTTGTGGGAGGAATAAAAGAATACTTCAATGTGATGTTGGGCACTCAGCTGCTCTACAAGTTTGAGAGGCCCCAGTATGCTGAAATTCTCTTGGCTCACCCTGATGCACCAATGTCCCAGGTTTATGGAGCGCCACACCTACTGAGATTATTTGTAAGAATCGGAGCAATGTTGGCCTATACGCCTCTTGATGAGAAAAGCCTTGCATTGTTGTTGGGCTATTTGCATGATTTCCTAAAATATCTGGCAAAGAATTCTGCATCTCTGTTTACTGCCAGTGATTACAAAGTGGCTTCTGCTGAGTACCACCGCAAAGCCCTGTGAGGGCCTACTGACCACTCACTGTTCTGAGTCTGGTATCTGTAAACACTTTTTGTTCTTAGTCCTTTTCTTGTATAATTGATGTTCTTTAAAATTGTTAATGTAAACAGGGCTTCTGTTTCAGTTTGTTTTCTGTTCTGTTTTAAACAGAAAATAAAAGGAGTGAAGCTCCTTTTCTTGTTTCAAAGTTGCTACCAGTGTATGCAGTAATTAGACAAAGACGAAACATTCAGTAGAACATTTTATTGCCTAGTTGACAACATTGCTTGAATGCTGGTGGTTCTATCCCTTTGACACTACAGTTTTCTAATATGTGTTAATGCTACGTGAAAAAAAATGCCCTGATTCCTAGTGCCAAAGGTTCGACTTGATGTATATACCCGAAAACCCATGCATTTGTGCTCTTTTTTTTTTTTATGGTGCTTGAAGTAAAACAGCCCATCCTCTGCAAGTCCATCTATGTTGTTCCTTAGGCATTCTATCTTTGCTCAAAATGTTAAAGGATGGTGATTTGTTTCATGGTTTTTGTATTTGAGTCTAATGCAC